ACTTTGACCTTGAGCTGCATCAGATGGACGTGGTGACTGCCTTCCTCAACGGTGACCTTCACGTAGAAATCTACATGGAGCAACCTGAAGGATGCATCGACAAAGTCAAACCTGATTCGGTGTGTAAACTTCTGAAAGCAATCTATGGTCTTAAGCAAGCCCATCGCCAATGGCATAGTAAGATCGATGAGATTCTGATCACTGAACTTGGTTTCGACACTAACCGCAGCGACACATGTCTTTACATTCGACGTCAAGGCAATGTCTAATGGTAGGTTCGGAGGGGCAAGGGAAAGAAGGAGGGCAGGTTGATGTGTGTGTGCGAAGGAGTTGGTACCGAGGTTTACTTGGAGCCGTCTTTCGGCGATACTTATACACTTTGAGAGTTACACTATCCCATTACTTTGGCACCTTGTAAACCGTACTCACCGTATGCGCGACCAAGCGCGGTCCTCTTCTGGCCCGTCCACACTGTTCTATTTCCACCTTACGAAGTGACTATTGACTATCAGTGCACAACAGTTTCTACACATTTCGAGTGACTGTAAACCATGGCCCTATGCATGCAATCGTTTCACACTTTACTAAGCTGCATCCAGACATGACAGAATATATTCTTGCACAATGAACAACTTGGCATCTCTCTATTTCCAACAACGCAAAGTCCTGTCATATCTCAGTCCCCATACATGCCCTTGTTTCGTACCTTACTAATTTCGGTACACACTGCCAGACAACTATCACGGATAGCAACAATGTGCATCCAGACTTTCTACACATCTCACGTGATATCCGATGTGAATCACACGAGTACTGTCATCAACTTGCATCAAACGGCGCACCATAACGCGAGCACAGTACAACGTCGCATGCTGACGAGAGTGTAGTACAACGGCGCATGCTGATGCAAGGGTCGCATACAGCGTGATGCGTACACTGAATACTCACGTAAGTACATGTCTCTTGCGAGAAATACTTGTTGTACTTTTAATTCACATGTACTGTACTCGGACACGCGCCGGACCGTATGTAGGCGACGTGTACAAGTGTACGTACAGGCAGCAACCTGGCGATGTGTACATGTGTACACCGCACACAAGTGTCCAGCGCCAAGGCTGTTGAAATAGTGAGCGCGCCCAAGGGGACACCAAGAAGCCAGCGCCTGTGGCCTTGTGGTTAACGAATTTTTGCGGCAAATTTTTCAGACCTCGATTTTAACATCAGGTCATGGGCCCAGATTTACGCTACCATTCGTGAGTTCGATTCTCACCGGGTGCACTTGGGCTGCGCAATGTTTGTTGTTTGTTTGTGTCACACTTGGGAACGTACCTGCCTGTGTGTTGTGCAGTGACCCGCGCCGTGTGTTTGGCGTCCCCTGGTCGAGGGGGAGTGTTGAAATAGTGAGCGCGCCCAAGGGGACACCAAGAAGCCAGCGCCTTTGGCCTAGTGGTTAACGAATTTTTGCGGCAAATTTTTCAGACCTCGATTTTAACATCAAAGGCCACCCGTAATTACCTATTACAACCATGGTGAACAACTTGAAACCCCCGAAATGATGTAATTAAAACGTATACCGATCATTCAAGATATATCACCAGCATGACTGCATATAGGTAGACAATAACAGACCAATGGAATTGCAGCATTCGAACCGACACCCAATAGATTTGCAGTATTGCCTGTGTAGCCCTATAACGGTTCGGGCCAAATGCAAATTTTCGGCATTTATGCAAATTTGCACAACCCTCCAAAAATCCACTTTCGTCCCCAGAACCCCAAAATCTGAGATTTTACACGTGTCATGTGGTGATATGGGGTGAGGGTCCGGACCGTCGAGTCATGTACACGTGTCGCTCGATTTTGCACTTTCCAGATAACAGCATGTCGTCGCACATTTTCAATACCTCCCCTCGATCACATGCTTTGGGCAGCTTTGCACTCGGAAAGCCCAACCATGCCCACGAACTTTTCAAGCAGCACGCGACCAAGGGGTTTGGTCAGCATATCGCCTGGCATTTCTGTTGTGGGACAATGGTACAATGTGACCAGTTTTCGCTGCACCGCATCTCGAACAAAATGATACGTAATATCAATGTGCTTTGCTTGTTTCGACGATTTGTAGATTGGTTCTGAGCAAACGCAATCGTACCAGCGTTGTCACATCCAACGCGAATTGTTGGATCCGAATTCGCACCAAGTGTTGGAAATCTTCGACCACATGCTAAGCTACAATCCTGACAGATATTACTCGTGTACGTCGACGAAACCTAAAATGCTTGCAAGAGCATTCTTAGGATATTTGGTCTTCAACGGTGACACGTGTCATATTTGTACACGGTTGCACTTTCCTATCATGTCCGAGCATGTTTCAATTTGGGTGTTGACACGTGTAAGTTATGTACCTCCTGGCACTCTACAGTACATTCTGAACATGTTTCATATTTCTCGATTTGACACGTGTGTGACACGTATGACATATGTCCTACACGTGTATGTTGTAATTCTACGACCACATGCTGATATGTCTGACACACGACGACTGGTATGACACGTGTAGAAGCAAAAACACTACGCGTGACGAGCTGAGCAAGTTTCATTTTCAACGTGTACACGTGTGATACATGTACACGGTTGCACTCTAGAGTACTTCAGGAGCAAGTTTGGTTTTCGACGTGTACACGTGTGAAATATGTACACGGTTGCGGTGTACAGTACAATCTGAGCATGGTTCATTTTCTCCGCCCGACACGTGTATGACCTGGACACATGTCCTCATTACACTGTCGGACGCGTACAGTACGGCTGCAGTCTTACGGACAAAGTGTAGAACCTTGGTGGCGGGTGCCTGGCACGTGCCAAAGGTTTACAGCGTCCATGGAGTGCAGCACGGGTACAGCAGGACACAAAGATACCGTTGCGCGAGTTTTGAATTCGTAAGGCAAAATGTGCCCTGTTGTAATTGACAGTGGACAGGACCTCACGAGAGATTCAGATTCATAAGGCAACGTGTGTGCTGTAAACAGTCCTTGCAGGATTGATTTGAATTCGTAAGGCAACGTGTGAGCTGTAAACGTGCCTTACGAATTTGTGCCACGCTGGATTTGGAATAGTAAGGGAATTTGTGCTTTGCTGTGCTTTGTTGTACTGCCTTACTAATTTCTCCGTCATGACAGTGCTAATTCGTAAGGCGGTTTTCTGTTATGTTTGTTGGGCCATCGCCAGTTTGGCTGAGTAGCAAGACGGGCACATGTGTTAGAGCCAATACATTTGTAGTATGTGTGTCGTAGTGTTTGGTAGTAGAGTTCTAGAAGATTGCAGAAGTGTATAAGTAGTGCCAGAAGTTGGCGACTCAAAGTAAATCGGGACCCAATCCTTCAACTTCACCTCATCAACCGTCCTTCGAATCCCCTTCGCCCCGCTGACCTACCATTAGTGTATGACACGTATGACGTATGTGCCACAGTGGTTATTAATCGTAGTGTAAAATCTGTAATCTACAGTACAGTACATTCAGATATTATTGACTCTCAAACGGTCCCAAATTATTAGCAAGAGAGAGTACAAGTAGGAAAGTCATTTGATTATCAACCGAGAGTGGAAATAGGAGAGTGACTTGATTATCAACCGAGAGTGCAAGAAGGAGAGTCATTTGATTATCAACCGAGAGTGGAAGCAGGAGAGTCACTTGATTATCAACCGAGAGTGCAACAGGGAGAGGCACTTGATTATCAACGAGTGCAAGAAGGAGAGTCACGTGACCAGCCCTAATGGCTCGTATTGTATGTAGTTCGAAGAGTATAAGTAGCGCCAATAGTTGGCGACCAAGAGTAAAATGGTATCAACTTCTTTTCCTATCAACCACCAGCAACCTTCAACCATCCTTCTTCCCTCTGCCCCGCTGACCTTTCTATAGGTTATGGGCCCAGTTCATCGCTGATCGTCGTCTTCGTTTTGGTTCTAGTTCGAGTTTCGCCGTCGTTCAAGTATCAGTTTGTTCAGCTTGTCAAGCAGAAGAAGAAGGTATCAGTTTCAGTCTCCGCTTTCGAGTTTGGTTTTTCAGTTTTTTCAGTTTTCGCCGTCGTTTTCAGCACCGTTTCAGCCGATTTTTCAGTTTAGTGGTCCGTCAGTTCCCAGTTTTTGGAAATCAACTTTGTGGTCTTGCAGCTTTGTCGTGGCAGTCGTTGTGTGAGCTGTGGGTGAGCCTTCCGCTAGTCGGGAGGAAGAAAGTCCCTAGTGGCCAACGCACTGCCAAATCCTCAGTGGAACATACCCTCGCTCTTGGTGAAAGGCTGGTGCCATTGGAAATCTGACTTGAGCGAGGGTCCGACCAAGAATCGTCGAGAGACGAATTACTGATCCTCGGGGAGGATCACAATGTACTGGTCTAGTCGATCCGCACTCTGCCTTCGGGAGGTGCGTCGGCGGTGTGGGTAACGCTCTCAGTATTAGCCCTATAGGTACGACTTCGGTCCCCTGGGTGAAGAGAATACGTGCCTAAACACTGAACCTCTCACTATACGTGTATAAGGTCGCGTACCTTGATTAAGTTTGCACGGAAGAGGGTGACCCAAGGAGTGATTGTGAACAAATCACACGAGTACGACGAAGGCAGTTTCATTCTTGTGTTGTGGGAGACCCTCTGAGGCAGTACCGTATCAAGTTTGGACAAGCCGATTTCGGTTGCAGGGACCGTTCGCGGTAGTGACCAAAAGTCCTGGTTCGTCTACAGGCAAAGTTGTTGTGCTTACTCGTGGCACGTTTGATTTAGTTCACAGTCGAAAGACCCGCACTGGCCGACATATAGGGGTAGCGCCCTAAGGCATTTTTAAGAAGAATACGCTTGTTCCACTCCGCCGGGAACAAGCACCAAGAACGTTTCCGAGTAATCGCTACAAACTTCCTATACGGGTGGGCTTGCCATTGTGTTGACTATCGGTTAACGGCTTGGGATCCCGGAACGGAAGACCTTGTATACTCGAAGGGTACATCCATTCGGCGAAATGGATGACCAAAGCTCTGGATCGGTCAGAATCGAGAAGCTGACCGCATCTAACTTTTACATCTGGAAGCAGAAAATCCAGCTACTGCTTGCTCTCCGAGATGTCGATCAATACGTTTTTGATGATATCCCGGAGAATGCCACCTCAGATGACCGGAGAAAATGGATCCGTGGTGACGCAAAAGCAAAGGCAGTCATCGGACTCACGCTTTCTGATGACTACTTGCAACATGTGCGAGGGTGTAGCAGTGCGAAAGAGACATGGGAAGCAATTCTGAATGTGTTTGAGCGTCATACTTTGCTCAACAAACTTGCCGCCCGTCGCGACTTTTACACTGTATCCATGCTCCCATCCGAGAAAGTGCTCGTGTTCATCAATCGTGTGAAGCAACTTGCTGCCAGATTGCAGTCAATGAGTGTTGAGATTGACGATAAAGAAATTGCAATGGCTGTGTTGAATGGCTTGCCTCCACGATTCGATAACTTGATTGTTGCTCTTGACGCACTTGGCAATGAAGATAAAGTGTTTGGACTCGAGTGTGTGAAGAGTCGTCTGCTGCAAGAAGAGCAACGAGAAAGCATGAAGACCGCTTCTGCTTCATCACCACATCTACCTGCACTTGTCAATCGTATGCCTATTCGACGCGATATGAAATGTACGAATTGCAATAGACATGGGCATACTGCAGCGCGTTGCTGGGGCAAGGATGTGAATGGGCGCCGACCAGCACCGCCAGACGGGTTCCGGTCCCGCAACCCCGGCATGAAGCCAAGTGCATTCGTATCTCGAGATGAAACTTCTACTGCTGCCTTTGCTGAAAGCGACTTTACATGCCTGCTTTCGACTTCTTCTCCCGAAAGGAAGGCAGTGAACGCAGGGTCATGGCTTGTGGATTCCGGTTGCAGTGCCCACATTACATTTGATCGCTCTTTGTTCGTTACTTATGAACAGATGCAATCTGGATCAGTCGAGATGGGCACGAAGGCTAGAGCCAATGTCGCTGGTCGTGGTGAGGTAGAATTCATGTTGAACGTCAATGGTAGTCCACATCCTTGCAAATTGTCCAACGTTTTGCATGTCCCTGATTTCGGATACTCGCTTCTGTCTGTTAGCCAAATCGTTTCAAAGGGCTTGCAAGTGTCATTTGAAAATGAGAAATGCCTCGTTACTGCAGGACCAACTCTAGTTGCCACAGCTAGTCAAGTTGGGGATTTATTCATACTTGATGTCATGAATGAAACTTTCTCTGCTCACGTAGTTACCTTGCAGACGCTACATGAACGAATGGCCCATGTTAACGTACAAGGAATCGCATCAATGATTCACAATAATGTGGTAAGTGGCATCAATGTTCGTCAAAGCAATGTGATCAGAGCAATGAATCGAAAGTCTGACAATCACTCTCTCGTTTGTCCTGCGTGTGTGTTCGGCAAAGCAACGCGATCAGTAATCCCGAAACAGCGATCATCGTCTCGAGCACAGAACTGTCTTGACTTGGTACATTCTGACGTTTGCGGTCCGCTCGAAGTACAGTCCATTGGTGGTTCGAGATACTTCATTACATTTGTAGATGATCACTCGAACTGGGTTGTTGTGTACACGATGCAAAATAAATCTGAGGCCTTTGCAAAATACAAGTTGTATGAACAGTTTGCCCAAACGCACACTGGTCGCAAAGTGAAGGTGCTTCGCACTGATCGAGGGGGAGAGTACTTGTCGACAGAATTCAAGTCATATTTGGATTCAAACGGTACACAGCACCAGCTCACCACTGCCTACACACCTGAGCAAAACGGTGTTGCTGAACGTTTAAATCGAACCTTGATTGATCTTGTCCGTTCCATGCTTTCTCATAAACAGGTCAGTAAACGATTCTGGGCAGAGGCTCTTGCCACTGCAGTATATGTACGCAATCGAGTTACTTCACGGGCTTTGCCAGTTAACACGACTCCCCATCACATTTGGATGAAGTCAACTCCAAATGTTGGCCATTTGAGAGTATTTGGGTCAAAGTGTTGGTATACATTACCGAAATTAGAGCTCCGTAATAATGGTAGGTTCGGAGGGGCAAGGGAAAGAAGGAAGGCAGGTTGATGTGTGTGAGTGAAGGAGTTGGTGCCGAGGTTTACTTTGAAGCCGTTTTCCTGCGATACTTATACACTTCGAGTGCTACACTCTCGCTCTACTCCGACTCCCAGTAAACCATACTCTACTATGCGCGACCAAGCGCGGTCCTCTTGTGGCCCGACCATACTGTTCGATTTCCACCTTACGAATCGATTCGTAACTATTAGCTCACAACTATTTCTACACATTCTAAATGACTGTAAACCATGGCCCTATGCATGCAACTGTTTCACACCTTACTAATCTGCATCCAGTCATGCCAGACTTCATTGTTGTGCAACGAACAACTTGGCACTTGTCTATTTCCAACAACGCAAACGTCTTTCATATCACAATCGCCATACGTATCCTTGTTTCTCACCTTACTAATTTCGCCAAGCACTGTCAGATAATTATGGCAAGTTATAACATGTGCATCCAGACTTTCTACACAACTCACATGAGAATACATGTAAATCACACGAGTACTGTCATGAACTTGCATCCAACGGCGCACCATGACGAGAGCACAGTGCAACGGCGCGTGCTCACGCAAGACTCGCATACAGCGTGACTCGTACACAGAATAATCGCACAACTGTATTCCTCTCGCGACAAGTACTTGTTGTACTTTTGATTCACATGTACTGTACTCGGACACGCGCAGGATCGCAAACAGTCTGACACTGTAAAACTGTAAACCCTCATGTGCATACACCTGGATGCGTGTACATGTGTACGTACACGAATCCACCTGGCGACGTGTACATGTGTACACCGGATACATGTGTCCCGCCCGGGGGCCCCATGCAATTACCCATTACAACCATGGCAAACCACTTGAAACCCCCAAAACAACGTAATTATGGCATATACAGGCCATTTAAAGTACATCACAAGGCCAATGACGCACACGTGGACAACGCTCGACCAATAGATTTGCAGCATTAGACCTGAGGGCCAATAGAATTGCAGTATTTCCTGTGTAGTCTATAGTGCTACGGGCCAAGGTTCCACTTGGCAAAACTATACAAATTTGCATGACCCTCCGAGAGGCCACTTTCGTCCCCGGAACCCCAAAATCTGGAATTTTACACGTGTCATGTCGTGATATGGGTAAGAGCGCCCGGACCGTGCAGTCATGTACACATGTCACTCGATTTTGACCTTTTCAGATAACAGCATGTGGTCGCACATTTTCAATACCAAGTCACTTCCAGCTAGCAGCAGATCGTCCACGTACAACGCGATAATCATGATGACATTGCCTTGACGTCGAATGTAAAGACATGGGTCGCTGCGTGTAGTGTTGAAACCAAGTTCAGTGATCAGAAACTCATCGATCTTACTATGCCATTGGCGATGGGCTTGCTTAAGACCATAGATTGCTTTCAGAAGTTTACACACCGAATCAGGTTTGACTTTGTCGATGCATCCTTCAGGTTGCTCCATGTAGATTTCTTCGGGATGTTCACCGTTGAGGAAGGCAGTCACCACGTCCATCTGATGCAGCTCAAGGTCAAAGTGCGCAACCAGTGCCAGCAGCAGACGGATAGTTGTGAACTTGATGACAGGGGCGAAAGTTTCAGTGTAATCGATGCCTTCTACTTGTTGAAAGCCTCGTGCCACAAGACGTCCCTTTGCAGTTTCGACCAATTTTCCGGACTCGTCAGGAAGCTGCTTCACTCCGAAAACCCACCTGGACGTCAGGACGTTTGATGCTTGAGATCTTGGAACAAGTGTCCATGTTTTGTTTTTGTGTTGTGAAGCAAGTTCTTTGTCGATGCCCTTCTGCCAGAAGCGAGCTTTTGGAGAATCCATAGCTTGCTTGTACGAGTTTGGGATTTCCGTTATCACATGGGCGTGGCTAAGGAGTCCAGCAGTCACCAAAGCTGCTGCCCACCACGCCCCAGGCGTTTTGCGAACGCGAGTGGACCGACGGAGATTAGTTGGCGGATCAATCGTTTCTTCCTCAACTACGTGTTGGTCAACTGTTTCGGTGGTCTCGTCCTCCCCTGCAGTTGGGGAGGAGTTGGAGGATTCATCAGAGTCTTGTTGTTCATCCGGCGATGATGCTTCTGATGCCACTGCATCATTTTCTGCAACTTCCTCATCGATGTTCAAGTTGATTGTGTCATCATCAGTTGAGCCTCCTCGTTTGTAATGGTAGGTTCGGAGGGGCAAGGGAAAGAAGGAGGGCAGGTTGATGTGTGTGAGTGAAGGAGTTGGTACCGAGGTTTACTTGGAGCCGTCTTTCGGCGATACTTACACTTTGTGATGTTAAAATCGAGGTCTGAAAAATTTGCCGCAAAAATTCGTTAACCACTAGGCCACAGACGCTGGCTTCTTGGTGTCCCCTTAGGCGCGCTCACTATTTCAACACTCCCCCTCGACCAGGGGACGCCAAACACACGGCGTGGGTCACTGCAAAACACACAGGCAGGTACGTTCCCAAGTGTGACACAAACAAACAAACATTGCGCCGCCCAAGTGCACCCGGTGAGAATCGAACTCACGAATGGTAGCGTAAATTGGGAGCTTACGCTACACAACAATTCTGTGAAAATCCTTTCAAATATTATGCACACGTGTACCAAAAATCTGTCTACTATTTCGCTCATGATGTATTGTGGTAACAAACGCCGCAGATCAGCATGGGAGTAGTACTGTCAACCCCTTTCACAACTATGAGGCAAAAAGACTACTCTCTCACCAAATGCAGAGAAAGAGCGTCGCTCTTTCGTGCTGCACTCGCGGTTATTGCTAAGCGACATGTCACACACACCCGCTCACGTTCCGCATTTACATCAAAGCCCGCTTTTGTCTGTGTCGCGTGGCGATACGTTGCAGCACAACGTCAGGTTCAATTTTTGTTAGACAGGTCAAACCGTATCTCTACTACTAAATTTTGGTTCAACTTCAATCGTTTTGGAGACCGCGAAGCCTTACAGGACTTCCGCTTTCGGGTTGAAGACATCAAAAAGATAGTACCCATTGTAGGGTGGCCTTCATCTCAACATCACACTACTCGTAACAGGTATGGTGTCAATCCGGTGCTTGCGACATGCATAATCCTCAGACGCATGGCCGTGCCCGACCGTTGGGAAGATCTGGCATATCTATTCGGAAAACATCCCTCCCAGATGTCGGAAATATTCTGGGAAGGGATGGAAACATTTGTGCAGGGGCAAGGGCATTTGTTGATGGGGCCTGTTCCACAGCAGTACATGGACAAAAGAGCTCAAGACTTTAGCCAAGCCATCAGTGATAAAGGAGCAGCAATGCAGAATTGTATAGGGTTTATTGACGGTACAGTGGTTGGCGTAGCCCGACCTAAAGGCTACATGCGGCAGCTCGTAGTATACAACGGGCACAAAAGGAAGCATTCATTAAAGTATCAGGCAGTCAACACGCCCGATGGGATGATACTGCACGCGTATGGCCCTGCCGAGGGTCGTCGTCATGACTGGTTCCTTTACGCAGCAAGCGGTTTGGAATCTAACATGGGTGAAATTCTGGTTGTGAATGGTACGCAGTACAAGATTTACGGTGATTCAGGCTACAACTGGCGCGTCTTTATGGAGGTCCCCTTTCAAGGAAGTGCGCTCAATACGCACCAGACAGCTTTCAACAGCTCCATGTCGGGAGTGCGTATTACGGTAGAATGGATTTTCAAGGAACTCAAAATGTATTTTCCGATTATTGACACGAAGCGCAAGATGAAGCTGTGTGAGTCACCGGTCGGGCTTCTCTACCTAGGAACTATGCTGATGTGCAACTTTCGAAACTGCCTGTACCCCAACCAGATATCCGAATACTTCAAGGTCCGCCCAAGCACGTTAGATGAATACATTCGGGAGAGGGGTGGGCTTCTTGAGGAGTGAAGAACAAAGTCCTTTCCCGGCGAGCAGTAGGCGAGCGAAAAGGAAAAGCCCCTTAGAGAAACTCCAGCGTTTATTAAAGCTGCATTACTACGAGAAGCTCCAACTTACCTCATCCCATCTTCTCCCTTAACATGTCAAACATAATCTTAAACTTCTCCAGCTCTAGCTTCTGTCCATCCTCACGCTCTTTCCGTCGCTCTTCACGTTCCTTCTCGCGCTCTTCCAGCTCTTTCGCATACTTTTCCTTCTGGAAGGACAGTTGATCCACCTCAAGCTGAATCCGGGCCAGATCCGCTTCCTTCAACTGCGCACCGAACATCTCGAGCTCTCCACTAACGTCCGCGATACCTGTCTGGCGCGTCTTCCGTCTCTTCCTCGCGCTGTTCCCACCCACATTACCTCCTCCGCTGCTCCCACCACTGCTACTTGCCTCACCTTCATCACCTGAGATGCTTCTCTTCGATTTCCGACAAAGTGCCATTTCGACAACGCGTCTGCCCATAATCTCCTTCTCCTCTTCTCGCTTGGTCTTCTCATTCTTATCGGCTTTCTTCTCGGTAAGAAACGTATCCCTCTCTTCTCGCATTTGGGATAGGGCTTGATAAAGCTCTCCCATCTCCCCTCCCGCAATCCCGGACAGACTGCTGTTTCTTCTATCGTCCGCGTCGAAGTCCTCCTGTAGTCGCTTGTATCTATCTTGTACTGCTTTCCAGTTCACCTTTTGCATCATGTGAGGGTTCTGATTTACCCTTTGAGCTACACTTTCGAACGACTGCTTCACGTTGCCGTAACCAGCGACCTGTGCCCGTAAAGCGGCCACTTCACGAACGATTATTAGGTCCTACTCCGGGAGATACTTCCCTCGTTTCCTAACACCTCGCGATCCATCATCGTTGCTGCTCACGTCCAAAACCTCTGCCATCTCACTGAACGGTTGATGGTCTGCTAACCGGTACCGATCCTGCACCAAGAAAAGCAACTGTACCTACAAATTGCGCCAAAACGTAAAGACACTTGTCTTGAAATTTAGACAGAATTGTCATGAGCAACAAGTCACTATTCCGCCTCTCTGCTCACGTCGAGACCCAGAATTCTGTGAGCACT